TCAGTATACTGTGTCTGAGTGGGGTATTCATGCTAATAGACCGATCCAGTCCCGGCCGATAAGCCCCGCCCACTTCGTTTTTGACGTTAGGGGGGACAACCACTGGCAAATCACAATGGCGTCACCGCCGGCGAAACGTTACGTGATTGCGAACGTTGTTGGTGAATTCTGCTTGTGATACTTTGGTATCCGTCGTTTGTGAATGTTATTTAAAGAGGCAAGTTATACGTATGTGATTTTTAATATATTTTAGCTGGCAGATTACAACTGGCGAGTGAAAATGAGTTACATGCCCGATGAAAAAGCGTCTCGACTAGCTGCTGAGACTGTAGGAAGCGTAATTTCTTTCGAATCAATTAATCTATCTGGCAATTATTCACCACCGTCACAGATATTAGCAGGGGAAGGATAACTGAATTTTGTTGTTTGGGTTTATAATTTTTAAAACTCGTGAACACAACCACATGTTCATGTTGCAGATCGTTTCGGTATCTATAAAAAGATTATCAACACTGCGCGTGGCGCCTTTACTTATCCGTTGGCGTTGTTCAAATTTAGTTCAATAATCTGAAAACATGGGTTTCTATCTTTTAATGAATTAAGAGAATGGTAAATAAAAAGCAGAAAATATTTCCCGTCTACTACTTCATGCACCTTATTTGTCTGTACAATTAATGTAAACAAATCAATCACAGCATAATCTATTTGATCTTATTTGGAAATCTGGAAAAGGTAATTGGGCTTGTAAACAATATGTTTCCATGGACGTATCTGGACATACCCAGAAGCAAATATTCAACAGCTGATCTGCAGCAACTCTCAGTAAAGTTTCTCTCTTCAAAATCTGTACACCATGATAAAATGACACTGAATATAAGGAAATCATTTTTTTAATCATCATTTCCATTTAATTTTTCTATATGTACTTTGTTGTGGAATCCTAATTTACATACAAACTTCCACAATACTGGACTTCATGAACTGCCAGCGTTTATGTACAGGTATGTCACAGCACCAGAACACAAAGAAGATCCAAGATACTGTCTGCACCTGTACACTAGCTGACCCATCTTCCAGAAATAGGAAACATGTGATGCAAAATTTTGGAACAGAGAATCCACAGTTATCCGAACAATTAACTAGCATTGAAATAGAATGTTACACAAAATACAAATGTAGATCTATTGTTTTTCATCAGAGATGTTTAACTGCTAACTACTAGTGTAAATAAGGTGCAAAGAATATATCCTATGTTCAAAGCCTTCTGTCAATACAATTACATATTGACATTATTGCTTCTTAATTAAACAATGATAATCTTTGTTTTATTAGATCTGAGACCATATCCCTAGAGGACATAACACTGATTTTGATCTATTTCCTTTTCTGAGATACTTACTGGTGTCATAACAATTATAATAAAGTTGATTCAAAATTTGGTAAAAGTCATAACAAAGGTTTAGGAAAACAGACATGAAAATGCCCTGAAGCGTTCACCTCCTACAAACCAGTGTGCAATTTAATATGAAGCTCATTTTGCAAATAACCATCAACAAACCTTGAACAATTTGTCCAAATCCACCATCTTAATAAACACTAGCTTTGGCTCAGTCTTCAAATATTAGTAACCTCCTAAAAAACTTATGATTTATCAGAAGAATTACATCAAATATGGGTTAAATATATGTTTCAATCTTTATTCCGTTACATGAAAAGTCACCTGAGATTTTTGTAAGTTATTCTGTTCCAGGACTGGATAATGCCTGACCAGGGTTTGACCAAAACGTAGCCTTTGCTTTTTCAAATTTTCTGGATGTTGAAATAACTTTAATGAGTTATGATACTAGCAATCACTTTCAGAATTATCTTATTAGTAAATGTAGTATTTAAAAAAAACATCTAAAAGCAGGAGCCAAGAAACTAAGTTAATACCAAGTGATTGTCCTGCCATGATATGTATGGTGTTTGTTTGCCTAGTTCTGCCTTTAAAATCTAAAAATCTGATATGTCAATCAATTGAATAATTATTTATTATTGATTAGATTATTATTAATTTTATTACCCTTCCACGTTTACTAAAAACAGCAAGATTCTTAAAACATACCTTGCTATCATTTCCAGTGAATTAATCAAAATTACAGTTGTAATATTACTCCTAAAATGTACCATTATATGTGAATAATTTATGTGGTAACAAAACTTCAAATAATGTTCTCGTAATTAAGATATACACTTTATTTCACTCCGTCCAATACTCCAGAAAGTCACTATTCTTCTCACATAGTTTTCGTATTCGATCAACATGGAGGAAGGTAATTCAGTTCAAAGTCCCATGCAACTCTTTATAAAAAATCTGAAATATTTAAAGCATGGTTTTATAGGCACTCATATGAACTAATTTTGATACTTGGATATTGCATGATAGGCAACTGCTGACACTGACAATATTTCCGTTTGAATAAAAAATATTACTCCTCGAATATTTTGCTCTGTTAACAAGATACTGTAGGCCTTCAGATTGTGCTTATGAAACTTAAAACATCCTACAATGTGTGACAAATTGAAGACTATCTAAGAGCGAAGGGGACAATATCCGCCACATTGTTCTTTCATGTAACAAGTTTTGCTATTTCGGTTGACCCTAACCGAAATGAAGATTTGTTTACATCGTGTCACGGCTTTCTCGCCTGTCTCATTTGAGCTTTATGGCGTACCAACTCAATGCCTAGTAGTGACTAAAAACGTTAAGCAAAAACAATTTTGTAGTTACAAGAATTGTCCGTGTTTATAACACTTGCAAAGTCTTAAACTGCTATTTGTTGTCATCAATTGGTAATGATTTTGCACATGTGCAAAAGTGTGGAAATTCGTGCAAATTCTCATCAGCAGGCAGACGTAGGTTTCCTGAACGATGGTGCAGACATTTAACTGATCGTTAGGCCTATCGCGTTTCTTGATCCGCCTCCATTTTTGTTGTCTTGGCCGTAATGGTTTTGTTAAGGTACACATCAAATCGCAGCAATATGTAATAAATATAGCGAGTGTAAATGGCATAATTCGAAGCACATCGCTTCGGATGCATCGTTTGACCCCGGAAATAAGTCTGACAAATCCACACAGCGCGCCCGGCCTGCTGATTGGCCAAAATTGACGCATGCGCCAGTTTTGATTGACAGACTGGATCGGTCTATTCATTCAGTGCTTGTACATATCTTAACAAATATGTTTAGACGATTGTTTGATCTGCCCAATCCCTCTCAACCGTAATAATTATCCATGTAACGTTAGAGGCACGCGGATCCGAGTTTCTGCGACTATACATAGTAAACAGTGCCGTGTGTTAAACTAGGACGTTATCATTGCGTAACTGGGGTAAAAACTAGGAGATGAACCCACAGTTTTGAAATGTGATGCAATCCCAATGTTGAGTAGGTACCTCTCTTTAATCTGAGACTGAACGATCTTGTCTTGTCTTAACCAATCAGAATCCAGCATTCTATAACGTCATGGTAGAATCAAGGTCAACATCTGGTAAGAATATCAATTTGATGTATAGAGGCGAGTACAATGTATATGTGTTGTCCCTTACTACATATATGGTCAGGCTTGGAGACTTGGCTTGTGGCGTTAATCACAGGATTGCCTCGCCCAGAGTCGATGTTCCGAAGACGTCATAAAGCTGCTATATTGCTGAATGCCCCATTAAACAGATGACAGACTAACAGATTTATTCAATAAAGAGGCCTTGGGCCCATGATACATACTTTGTACTAATTTGTAATGCAATATTATATGGACAACAAAATGCATTTATAAATCGTTGGTTGTAATTGATGAGCCTTACTGTGTTCCAGTGATAACTGAAGGACTAAGTGCTTTGGGTTAATAGTGTTGGGTCTCAGTTTCCATAGTTTTTATAAATACAGACATTTACTATGCAGGATAGAGACATTACTGTGTACCAGTAATAACTGCAAGGCTAAGTGCTTATGGATTAATAGTGTTGGCTCTAAGTTTCCATACTTTACATAAACACATACGTATACTATGCAGGATAGAAACATTACAGTATATCAGTAATAACTGCAAGACTAAACAAAGAAATATGAGATTCATACCCATGTTGTTGTTTTTTTATTATCTAACCAGATTATAGTACACACTAACGCTTTCACTCACTTATATTATAGGTCAATGGACATAACCTTATTTCAAGATGTCAAATGAAAACACGGAAATACGATGATGGCATATCACCCACGCGTGAGAATTCCAAAAACGCTTGCACGTCTTGGATGCTTACGACTATACGAATCAGGGATATTTCCAAATAACGGCATCCAGTGGGTTTCGATTGTTCTTTGTGATTGCTTGTTTTATAGGTTGAAGAAATTATGCGCCATTTGATAAAACTTAAATCACGGGTAGCCAACCAGTGTTCAGAAATGCGTGTAAACTTTGTCTGCAAGACCATTAATTTTTGTTCTGTCTCTACAGACGGTAGCCCAGTCAGCCATCAAAATCGACTTTATCGCACCTGTTTTAAAATTCGGATGCGTCATGCTGACGTACTGGTTCACGAATGTATGAAACATAAAAAAATTGAAATCTGTTTACCCTTTTCTGACACTTTATAAATCACCCCGTTCTTAAATAAATCCTGATTAAATAATGTATTTGGGCCTTCTACGTTAATAGTTGTACATATTTCAATACAGAAATGTCTGTCCCATATAACCTTTAAAGGTTTCTGAACAGGAAGCGCGTTTCGTCATGCGTTATTCCAGTTTTCATTGATAAGGCTCGCCCATTTGTCCCTCAACAAGCACTAGGTATTTCCCCAAAGATGGATTTCGACACTCTGAGAGTATTTATAGATCATAATGCAATATTTTGCAATCGCTATAACCCGCTCAATTACTTCCCTTGCAAATTTCCGTGTGCATTACAAGGGCAAGGACGTTGAACTATGAAGGTTAAGGTCACTAACAAAAAGCATGTACATTCATTTCCTTCCGATCGCACTCGGTTCACTGGTGTGTTTTCCTATTTCGGGTGAGGTTTCGAAACAGTTGTCACTGGCTGGTCTTCACGTATGGACGCTGTTTAGACAAAATCAACAAGTCTGATTTGCGTGTCACCACGTGAGTGAATTCCCCTATGGTGTCGGACGACGGGAGGTTACCAGTTACCAGAATTAGCAACATCGTCATACATTTTCATGACAGTTGATTGAACCAACAAAAAAGCCGGTGTCGGTAATTCTATAGGGACGGCATTGCATCAACGGTGGGGTGACTCGGGAGAAACATTGTGTGGTCAGCCAAACGGATTGTCATCTCGTGCAAGGCGCAAGAGGTAAAATTATTGATCATTTGAAGGTATATTGGGGGTTGATATTGTTTTGTTTATGTTGTTTCACAGTCAACACCGTCAAGCTTGAGTGATTAACTATTGTGGAGACGAACACACCCACGCGAAAGCATGTCTTGCTCGTTTGGTGATTCTGCTGGACATTTCGATAATCTTTGCTTTACTGTACAGATTACTTTAGGCTTAGTTTAAGCGTTATTGTTTCATGCATCGTGAAATGTTTGGCGTATCATGCTGTTATGCCTTTTACGATGTGTTTTTATTTCTAGAAATGATATAATTATATTTTTGTATAAACTTGTATTTTGATTTTCTTTTTTTTTTTACATTTCTGTTTTTGTATTTCTTTTCAGTGACCATTGTCATGTAGTATCAATTCTGTTATGAATAATAGCTGGAATATTGCTGAGTGCTGCGTAAAAATAAACTCACTCACTCACTCACTCTGTTATGGATGAAATTATTTAATTTGTTTAACATCATACAGTGAGTGAGTTTATTTTTACGCAGCACTCAGCATTATTCCAGCTATATAGCGGTGGTCTGTAAATAATTGAGTCTGGACCAGATAATCCAGTGATCAACAGCATGAGCATTGGGAACCAATGACATGTGTCAACCTAGTCAGTGATCCTGACCACCGATCCCGTTACCTCTTACGACAAGCATGGGTTACTGAAGATCAATATTCTATCCCGGATCTTCATGGGTGCCACACAGCTGTAGTACTGCTGAATATCTGCTCATGATATAGTCACACTTGCACAATCGACTCTGATTTAAGGTTTTAGCAGATATTTCTTATGGATGTAGAAAGGGTTTTGTCCCATCTTTTTACATTAGCTCCTTCTTTTGCTGCATCTTTATTTCTCCATCTGTTCTTAACCAGTGATAAATATTTTATACCCCAGTCTGACTGATAACTGTAAACAGTGTTACAATACCATACTATTTTCTTCATTCATTGATGAACATTGTATAAATCTGGTTATGGGCCTAAGATAGAAATAGCAAAGTCCTCAGATGGTTGTTAAGAAGATATAAAATTAAATAAGAAAATGTTAAATTTGTATCAGGAGCTGTGAGGTGACATCTGTTGTTTTGTTTCTACTGAGTGACGGTTTGCATGCAGTCATGATGAAGAACAATGGCTGTCATCAACTTGTCAGGAAGCTGCATGATCTAGGGACTGTCATGTTACATCCCGAAAAAATTGTTTAATGAAATGTGATAGCTGTTTGCCCTCCCATATTTGCTGTTTTCATATCAGCTGATTAATATGTTACCACTGGGGTCTCTTAACTCTCCAATTGGCTACAAATCCCAAATAGTTTTTGAATTGATATACTGTTCGTTAAGTGAGTGAGGGGCAGTGGGGTAGTCTAGTGGTTAAAACGGGTTCGGTCGTCATGCCACCACAGGGGTTTGAATCCCCTCATGGGTACAATGTGTGAAGCCCATTTCAAGTGTCCCCGCTGTCATATTGCTGGAATATTGCTAATTGCAACTTAAAGTCATACTCACTCACTCCAAAACTCCATGGTGTGTTAATTATAATTCTAAACTGTATCAGTTTTATACTTCTGTGAGGAAGGGCAAATGTGAGTTTGTGTTATTTGCAATATTCTATAAAACAAACATGGTCTTGTTGGAACAGTTCTTGTTCTTCAGAATGGCCATGGCAGCACCATTTACATGTGATCTTAGCCGAGTGAGTGAGTGAGTGAGTGAGTGAAAGGTCAATATTTCGGCTTATTACAGTTTACATGCACTCTTAGCTGGGTGTGTGTGTGAGTGAGTGAGTGAGTGTTACCATAGTTACTGAGATTCCCCCGGACTAACACATCACCCATACTTCCATTAAGCAGCAATATCATTCACATGACCTTTAAAATGATGCTCACCCTTTAAGCTCTTAGTTATGGAACTGAAATCGCTATTTATCCGTAACTACCTAACAGTCTGAGTGTTGCAAGAGTTGACATTACCATTGGTAAAGACTGTTTTATATTCTGTGGCTTTGTGTTGGATCATAAAATTAATACTCAAGTTATTTAAAAAAACACTCTTACCATAAAATTTAAGTTTTTTGAGCCTAGAATGATGGGTGTATGACAAGAGCTGTACTCTACATTGTACACTTCATGGTATCCTCTAGCACAATTCATTCTCCCTTCCCAAAAAGGTTTTCTAAAAGTTATTATGAAGAACATACTGTATGTGAACTGACCGAGATTAGACAGTGTTCGAGACACATTTTATGAAAGCGTTAACTCTGAGAGGTATTTTTACAAATCTTTGGTTTGTTTTCATAATTATTGATGTTCTTCATTCATAACTATGAAAATGTTTTTTCGTAAAAATGCCTGAAGGCAATTAATCTTTCCCTATAGAATCGCCCTTGAAATATGAACTGTTTTCTTAACAAAAATACATCTTCTCCCATTCAACAATATGATTAAATATAGACACATTCACTGTCAGGATGGATGTAGTCAATATACTTAAGAGAGCGTACAAACGCTTTGGGCCCCACTGACCTAAAAATAGGTCAGGGCTCCACCCTAGCTTACACCAATAGTTTACATAGATTCTTTATACACGTGTAGACTTTTTGACACACAGTATTATTAGTCATGCTTCAAATGCTTGCGTTACTTAAAGGGGCAGGACCTACATGTATGTATTGAATTTTTCAATGTGATTGTATTAGGTGGGTGGTTTCTATGGTAATGTCTGTGTGCAGTGAAGTGTTTATATGCCATGTAGCTCACAGCCGGATCAGAAGGTAATAATATGTTGATTTTTGTTTCATAAATTATGAATATGAGAAGATTATATTATATTCCTTAAGGAATGTGGTTGACGATAGTTGATATGAAGTTGTTTTGTTTTGAGAATGTACGTTTGTACATGGTTACTAAGTACGGATTGAATTGTTTCTATTTTGTGTCAACTTTTTTCATTTTTCAATATCATGTAAGTGTAGACAGTATTGGTATTAGTTCTTTAAGTTACAAACTAATTCATCCTTTGTTGTTAGGACTGACTTTTTAAAAACATTTTCATCATATACCAGGGGTGATTGGGTAGCCTAGTGATTAAAGCGTGCGCTCGTCAAGCCGAAGACCTGGGTTCGATTCCCCTCATGGGTACGATGTGTGAAACCCATTTCTGGTGTCCCCTGTTGTGATATTGCTGGAATATTGCTAAAAGCGGCATAAAACTAAAAACTAAACTCACTCACTCATCGTATACCAAATGCATTGATTGATGCTTATGATGTCAATCACTGGATTGTCTGATCCGGACTCTATTATTTGCAAACTGCAGTCATATAGCATGAGTATTGCTGATTGTCACATGAAGCATCAAAGAAAGAAGTTTGGGGTTGTTTTGAGGCAGATTATTTGAGCTCTGCATGATAAGTGAGGATCCTTTTAATGGGGCACAATATATTGACAAAGGACTGAGAATCCTTGTAATGGGGCACAATATATTGACACAGGACTGAGAATCCTTGTAATGGGGCACAATATATTGACACAGGAGTTAGTATCCTTGTAATGGGGCACAATATATTGACACAGGAGTGAGGATCCTTGATGGGGCACAATATATTGACACAGAAGTGAGAATCCTTGTAATGGGGCACAATATATTGACACAGGAGTGAGGATCCTTGTAATGGGGTGCAATATATTGATACAGGACTGAGAATCCTTGTAATGGGGCACAATATATTGACACAGGAGTGAAGATCCTTGATGGGGCACAATATATTGACACAGGAGTGAGGATCCTTGATGGGGCACAATATATTGACACAGGAGTGAGGATCCTTGATGGGGCGCAGTATATTGACACAGGAGATCCTTGATGGATCCAGTATATGACACAGGAGTGAGGATCCTTGATGAGCATTGACACATATATATTGACACAGGAGTGAGGATCCTTGATGGGAAACAGTATATTGACACAGTATATTGACACAGGAGTGAGGATCCTTGATGGGGCACAGTATATTGACACAGGAGTGAGGATCCTTGATGGGGCACAGTATATTGACACAGGAGTGAGGATCCTTGATGGGGCACAGTATATTGACACAGGAGTGAGGATCCTTGATGGGGCACAGTATATTGACACAGGAGTGAGGATCCTTGATGGGAGTATAGCAGTATATTGACACAGGAGTGAGGAGGATATATTGACACAATGAGGGGTATATTGACACAGGAGTGAATGTATATTGACACAGGAGTGAGGATCCTTGTAATGGGGCAGAACATATTGACAAGTGCACAAGGATCCATTAAATGGAGCACAGGTTCTATAATTGTCAAAGTATATATGTGATAAAGTAACTGTGATGAAATTTTGGTAGCAAATGAGGTAATGAAATCAAAACCAGAAAAACACAAACGCAAATAATTTATGTCAAAATTTATCTATCAATGATAATAAATTTACTTGGACAGATAACTCTGGCAAAAGTGGTGCAGCATGTTTGTGTTGGGTTCTGTTTTAGAGTCGTCACTTGTACAATCAAGAGGGAGGTTCTGGGGTAAAACCTGGCCCTTGAATCCCAACAAGTGTGTTTACTTTATGAAAATGTTGTAATTGATTATTTTGTCCTCGCTATATCTAGGATATAAGATACTGAATGTTGACATGTCCATGATACACAAGACCTGAAGCTTTGTATGAATGATCCAAGCACACAGAATTGAATCTGACAATAAACATGGCCACCATTATTTCTTCATAATATGAGTGAGCTACAGAGCCTTGCTGCTGTCTTTTTTAGGATCATTGTTTTACTGAGATTTTCAAGTATAAATTTTATTCAGGAATTTGATTTAAAACTGCCTTCTCTCTGTATATGGTATTGCTTTTGTTTTGTCTGTGTACAGTATTGTTTACCTCTTGTTTGTGTATAGTATAATAATATTATTTACCTTTTGTCTGTGCACAGCATTAATAACGTTTTGTCTGTGCAGTTTTATTTACCTTTTGACTGTGCACAGCATTATTTACCTTTATCTGTGCACAGGATTATTTACCTTTTGTCTGTGCAGTATTATTTACCTTTTGTCTGTGCACAGCATTATTTACCTTTGTCTGTGCAGTATTATTTACCTTTTGTCTGTGCAGTATTATTTACCTTTTATCTGTGCACAGCATTATTTACCTTTTATCTGTGCACAGCATTATTTACCTTTTGTCTGTGCAGTATTATTTACCTTTTATCTGTGCACAGCATTATTTACCTATTGTCTGTATGTATTATTTACCTTTTTTCTGTATGTATTATTTACCTTTTGTCTGTGCAGTATTATTTACCTTTTATCTGTGCACAGCATTATTTACCTTTTATCTGTGCACAGCATTATTTACCTTTTGTCTGTGCAGTATTATTTACCTTTTATCTGTGCACAGCATTATTTACCTTTTATCTGTGCACAGCATTATTTACCTTTTGTCTGTGCAGTATTATTTACCTTTTATCTGTGCACAGCATTATTTACCTATTGTCTGTATGTATTATTTACCTTTTTTCTGTATGTATTATTTACCTTTTGTCTGTGCAGTATTATTTACCTTTTATCTGTGCACAGCATTATTTACCTTTTATCTGTGCACAGCATTATTTACCTTTTGTCAGTGTGCAGTATTATTTACCTTTTATCTGTGCACAGCATTATTTACCTTTTGTCTGTGCAGTATTATTTACCTTTTGTCTGTGCAGCATTATTTACCTTTTGTCTGTGCAGTATTATTTACCTTTTATCTGTACACAGCATTATTTACCTTTTGTCTGCAGTATTATTTACCTTTTGTCAGTGTGCAGTATTATTTACCTTTTATCTGTGCACAGCATTATTTACCTTTTGTCTGTGCAGTGTTATTTACCTTTTGTCAGTGTGCAGTATTATTTACCTTTTATCTGTGCACAGCATTATTTACCTTTTGTCTGTGCAGTATTATTTACCTTTTGTGTGCAGTATTATTTACCTTTTGTCTGTGTGCAGTATTATTTACCTTTTGTGTGCAGTATCATTTACTGTATTAAATACAGATATACCAAACTAAGATTGGTGGTCCCTTTGAGTTTGTTACAACAGTAGTTTACTCTAAGTCTTGTCTCCCCACATGGGTACAATGTGTGAAGCCCATTTCTGGTGTCCCCCGCCGTGATGTTGCTGGAATATTGCTAAAAGCGGCGTAAAACCAAACTCAGTCAGTCAGTCTAAGTCTTGTCTGTGCACATCTACCGTAAGTCTATGGAGAGTATTATTTACAGGTTAGCCCACTCATATTTGTCTGAGATGCACTTATGCATCCAGTGAAACTGACTTGTTCATTTCACAGAGAATGTCATTTCTCTACCCTAATAATAACAGTGTTCTGAACCGCTGGTATATGGTGGACGTTCAATTAAATATTAAATTCTGAAGAATGCAAAAGTGGAAGTGGACTGAGTGGAAAGTTTAGATTTAATCTTTTCTGATAACATGTCACTCCACTTAATTGTGTCCAATTGCTAGCGTGTCAACTATTTTAACTGTAACCTAGTTTTGTTATTTCATTCATTAAACAAATTAATGCAATTCACTAAGAATTACTTGTCAGTAGGTATTGTATTAGGAGCACGCTGAAATATCATAGTGCTTCATAGTGCTTATACCTTTGGGTGAGTTTCTAACATGCTTGTTATAGCAAGCATGGTTTTTTTAATTGCAAGCTCTACGTATATTTTCCTGCTCAATTTTTTCAGTTGCTGAATGAAACATTAGTCAAGGAAATAATTAGTTTCAAAAGTTCCACATTTGTGAGTGAGATTGTTTGCTTCCAGAGAGACTCGATGCAGCATCTGGGTTTGGATTAGGATGGTATGGATGTACCGACAGAAACTAAGAGTTCTGGAAGAAAGTTTCGACGCTCAATCAGCCAGTCATACGACCGATATGGGTAATTATGCTTTTGTTGAATATTTAATCATGTAATGTGTGCTGGCAGGTTGTCCATGTGAGATTTGGATGTTAATTATGTATAAGATGAAGAAGAAGAAGTGATGATACATTGTAACCATAGGAACTGCTGCTACCCACAGACTATTTCTTCCTTTAAAGGGGGATTCATGACCACGGTATGTGGCAGGCATGCCAAGATTGTGTCAGCACTTTTAAAAGCAATTGGTTACTTTAGTTTCATGAAAACCACTTACATGGAATGACTGGAAGTGTTTTAAGAACGTTTTTGAAGTTTGGGAGGTTTGAAGTGCAGGTAGAAGTGGAATGGATAAGAAAAGCAATATTTATAGATGTCAACTCTTTATTGTGAATAACATTATGTTTCGGAAGAGCAAGCATACACTCCAAACGTCATGTTATTCACAATAAAGAAGTTGACATCCGTAAATATTGCTTTTCTTTGTGACTTTTTTTCCTAGCTGGCCAAGTTGTCTTAGATGCTGCAATTTCGCTATGCAGAGTTGCTTCCCTTTGGCGCACCAGAATATATGATCGTGGTTTGAATTCTGGTATACCCCAGTTATGGTTCGACGTTTGTCAGCATCATGCTAATGTTTGTTGCTTTCACCAAAGTGGTAACGGTCTGAGGCCTGCATCAATCTGAGCCTTCCTGTAACATTTGGCTGAAATGATTTGATGTATCTGGAATATTATTTAAAATGGTGTTACCTCTAATTTACACACTTAGTACAAATTGTCTAAATGTAAGTTTCCTCACCTGAAATAAGCATATGTGGTCGTCAACCTGTACTCACTTGTCTGAGAGAGCTCTGTTGCTGTGTTGATTTCACACATATGGGTATTGATAATTTGTGTTGTAAAGTGTTGTAGGTTATTCTGAAGAAACCAAAAAAACTCTCATGATTTAGTGTTTAATTTTATACACAGACTTTTTCAATAGATTAATCAGTGAGTGAACATTGGTGTTCTTCCGTGAGTGAGTGAGTGAGTGATTGAGTGAGAGATTAGTTAATGAGTGCCATTTGCAATTTGAGTGAGTGAGTGAGTGAGAGGCTTAATGAGTGCCATTTGAGTGAGTTAGTGTAGGAGGGACTTAATCAGTGCCATCTGCAGTTTACGAACAATATGCTGAGACATTTTATGTAGCCCAAAGGGTAATATCGCCTTTGTCAAACAAAATCTGATAAGGTTGTACATACTTTTCCTGTGTTTCTCATATCTTGCCTGTCTTGAATTTTAAATGTGACGTAAAATAAGAATATTTTTTTATCTCTCTTTTCCCCTGAACTGTGACTCCTGATAGAAAATATTCTACTCTTGCGAACATCTAAAAATCTAGTCTAGTTTAATCTTTCTTCATCTACATGTATTAAAGATTTGTCTCTAAAGTGAAATAACTCAATCCATTTCATAACTTAATTCAAAGACTGTTAATTTTAAGATGTAAAACATGATTGGTAAAAAACATGTTTTCAAATTCTTTTCTCTTCAACTGTTTTTTTTGCTCCCATAAAAATATAATCTACAACCTAATGGTGCATCCTTAATGCATAGGGGTGTCAGTGAGTGAATTAACTTGTCATACCTTGTCATGATTACCATGTCTAGTACGTCTATTTCGAAATCACTTTGGCGCCCATGAATAATCATACTCAGACTCTACTTACAGTTTTGGCAGAAGTGATTTCAACCAGTGACCCCATTTTTTTGCGCTTTACAATTTTGTACCTTCAATGCTTTAATGTTTTCACTTTTTTCATATTACTCCTTGCCTGAAAGTGAAACATGATTACATAGTATGATTATCATTGTTTCTAATAAAACAAATGTTGAAAATACCATTAGGGGCACATTGACTCTGTTTGAGGAAAATGTCAGTGATCTGTTGAAATAGTTGAATGTAGTGTTAAAGAAAGGTTGCTGTATCACAGAGAGAGAGAATAAATATTCGCACCTAGTCATTCACTTATTTCTGTATACATATGTCTGTATATTAATTTGCATGAACATATTTCCTGGTGTCATACACCATTATCACTCACTCACTCACTCACTCACTCACTCACTCACTCACTCACTCACTCACTCACTCACTCACTCACTCCACCCACCCACTCACTCACCCACCCACCCACCCACTCACACTCACTCACTCCACCACTCACTCACTCACTCACTCACTCACTCACTCACTCACTCACTCACTCACTCACTCACTCACTCACCCACTCAACCCACCTATTCACCCACTCACTCACTCACTCACTCACTCACTCACTTCTCTTCTTTATTGGCAGATTTCGAGACCTGGGCTTTGACAAAGTGCCCATCACTTATGCCAGCTTCTTGTCGCTGGCGACATGCTGGTGGCTCACCCCAATCATGCTGTCCCTGTGTCGCCGGGGAGGCAGCGGGCTGTCGTCCGTGCTGCAACTACAGTGGTGGCCGGAGGACTCCACCCAATACAACATCGACTTGTAAGTCACACAACAAATTTTACTATGCAGTGTTCATTTTCATTTTGGTGCGACCTTCTAGCTTTCAATGTGTGTCCTGTGTGCCAATAAGTTGTCATGGTAACAATGCTGAATTTGCTAAATTTGAGCGCAAACAGTGCATTTGAACTCAAATACAGTTTATTATTATTATTGTTATAATTGGATAGTTATATAGCGCACATATCCACACACTAGTGCACTAATGCTTAATCTACCAGGAACTAGCTCCACATGTAATAGTCAAGAGAAATGCTATGTTGTCTGTATACTTTCTGAAAAAAGTAAGGCATTATGAAATATATTAATTATAAGTTATTCCATGTATCCCCTACTTCTGTAGAAGAGTATATTTAGTTCAGACTAATAAAATGCTATTTTCATTTTGTTTTTACTATTACGTGAATGAGTAGCACGTGTAGGGGTAATCCTTATTCCGTCGTTGATATTCCAATGCAGACCCGTGAAGGTCCGGGTTAGAATATTGATCTTCAGTAACCCATGCTTGTCATATGAGGCGACTAACGGGATCGGGTGGTCAGGGACTTGTTTGGTGCATGTCATCAGTCCCCCGTTGCGCAGATCGATGCTCATGCTGTTGATCACTGGATTGTCTGGTCCAGATTTGATTATTTACAGACCGCCACCATATAGCTGGAATATTGCTGAGTGTGGCATAAAACTAAACTCACTCACTCCAATGCAGAATTATTCTCCAGTCTTGCATTACAAAAACACTAGCAATTTAATTTGTCTTGAAACAGGTATGTTAATGAAAATATATAATCTGCAGAGATTGTGCCCTAACTGATAGTAAACAAAATGAAAACCAGAAAACTTGTCAGCTCAAAATCAGAAATGATGTGTTTTTGTACTCAAGTGCAACACACATCAAACAGTTGATACTATGGCGGTACTGACTGTCAGGTTTCCTGTCAGTATGGAGTTTCAGGAAGCTTTTGTTGTGAGTTAAACATAGATTGTACTTTCCTGTTGACTAAAGATCATTGTATTTCTGTATCTGGTCGTACGGAGGTGACCTTACAGGTTTCCAAACGGATGGGAGGCAAGGACATAATAAATCGCGTCAAACCTGGAAATATTTCAGAATTTGTTATCCATTGTTTGTTTGTTGTTTAATGCTGCACTCAGCAGTATTCCAGCTATATGGTGATGTCCTGGAAATAATTGTCTGGACTAGACAATACAGTGATCAACATCACAAGCATTGATTTTCGCAATTGGGATATGGTGACATGTGTCAACCAAGTCAGCGAGTTTGATCCCATTTTTTGCCTCTCAATCAAACATAGGTTGCTGAAGACCAATTTTAATGAGGATCTTTATTGGTGTAGGCCATCTTATGACAAGCAAAGGTTGCTGAAGACCAATTCTAATTAGGATCATTAGGAACTGTACATAATTTATGGTTAAGGAGGTGGGGGGTGTCATAAATTTTGTACATATGTACTAGTGGGGGGTCATCAATTTTGTGCATAAAAATATTAAATACTTATGCTTAACAAATATGGAAAGGGGGCATTGAGTTGTTTTTTGTACATTACATGGGGCACTTACTTTGTAATTAAATTTTAGGGGGTGTTGGGTCAGTCACATTGTACATGCTTCTCCATAAAAATCATCATCATCCCCCTAGCCATAAATTATGAATGGTCCCTTATGGATGTAGGCCGTCTTACGACAAGCATAGGTTTGCTGTTAGCAGTAACTGGGGCGGTAGGCTAGTCTTAAGTCTAGTGGTTAAAGCGTTGGCTCGTCACGCCGAAGACCCGGGTTCAAATCCCCACATGGGTACAATGAGTGAAGCCCATTTCTGGATGTTCCCCGCCGTGATATTGCTGAAAAATTGCTAAAAGCGGCATAAAACCGAAACTCAGTCAGTCAGTCAGTTAGCAGTAACTGAGCTCATAAAAATTGTACATGAACTAGGGCAAATATCTCCTCATGCCAATACATTTAAGTCACATGGCTGACATTGTTAATGTCATTTGAATGTTCTGTGAAGTAAGGTTGAAATTATATCACACCATAGAAACTGTGTCATAGCTGTAGATTGATCCTGCTTGTGGTTGTCTAAGATGGTAATCGTGAACAGTTCCTTTAAATGAGTAGCTCCAACGAAGTAAGAAATAATGGGTAATAAAAAAATTGTTTTACTCGCGTACACTTTTCACATAAAATGAAGGGTGTTGGAAAGTATTTCCTGTCAACTCTGAAAACTGTTTTCACTTCTTTTCTAGTTTTCAATGTTCAGTGTTTAAGGCTTGTAAGAGAAGGTGTTTTTTAGAGAACTAGTTTGTTAATCCTCCAACAAAGGTTTTTTTCCTGAACATGAGAACAAAGTATATTCATTTCATTATTAACTCAAAGAAGATTGTTTTTTGTTTTCCACAAGTCAAACTATTCATTTTCTTCATCATTTTCAAGAAACTATTCATCTGGAGTATATTTTAGTTAGTGTTGGGAATCGGGAAACCAAATCCACTATTGATTATCGGAGGATTGTGGTGAACAATTATTGATTATAGTCAAAATAAATGCATTTTTAATGAAATCACCAATTTGAAGCGTTTTACCCAGGTTTTTCTAATAAATGTTCCTTATGACTAATACTGTCATGCAATGAAATGCATGCATGCACGCTGTTGAGCGCTTGTTTGTTTGTGAATATTCGTCATATTTAATCACTAGTTTATTTCATTCAAGTGTGTTAAACTAAAACAACAAAATTCCAATTAATCAAAAATATGTTTTTTTACAATCCTTCTTTCGATCGATTTTCGATTATTTTCGATAATCGTAACACCACTAATTTTAGTACAAACTTTCATTTATCTTTGTTCCCATCACCCAATAGAAATCAGACTGATGCTCCCGAACTACTTTTTAAAATGCATCAGGTGTATCTGTGGACACCATTGCTGTTATGTTTCTATGACGATTGAAATCTGTGACATTAGAATTCTGAATTATCTCCCTTGACCAGGTTGGAGACGTGTTGGAAAGCAGAGCTGAAGACTCATGGTGAGGAGAAGGCATCCCTCGGCCGTGCTATCCGGGCAGCTTTCAAACGGAGGCTAATCTGCTCGCAAGTCCTTGTTGTAATATCCATGGTGCTCTCTTTCCTTGCTTCTGTGAGTGATACTTCAAGTTTATTTTATATAACTTGTCTATTATGTAATATCAATGACTAATCATATAATACGATGTCAAATTGTAACATGTATCTGCAGTAAACTCCATTTGTAATGAACACTCTTATGATGAAATGAGACAACATTTATATATGTCCTTGATCTAAAGGTTTGTGATTGTTAGGAAGGACTGTGTATTGGCAAATATATTGTATTGCAATATACAGTGGAAGCCCTCTAAACCAGCATTCGTTGGGACTGGCAAAAAACGCTGGTATAGAGAGCGTGCCGGTTTAGAGAACTTTTCCCTTTTCAACCTGAGGAGAACAGTTAAGCGTTCTTTTGAGACTTTTGAGTCTCATCGCAGTTAAAAACATCTTCAGGCGCAGATCCATCAATCAAAGTCGGAGGGGACTTAAACTTGTCGACATCACTCTGATCTACTCTGGCACTTTTGCCACTCACTTTGAACTGTTTGATGTCGTATTGTGTCTTCCAATGTGCCAGCCAACCATCTGATGCCTTAAACTCGTTGACATTTAATTCTAAAGCAAACTTAATAGCTTTTTCTTTCAAAATAGGACCAGAAAAGGGCATGTTTTTACTGTGGGCAGTCAATGTGTTAATTTTGTCAAATTTACTGTTTCCTACAATCAATTTATAATACAAGTGACACGTGTCACTCACCAATTTACCTCACCTACTTAGGCCTAATCCTTATCCGTACTCCTTTTATCAGGTAACATCAATGAGCTTAATGCCGATGGTAATCCACTGTGTTGTTAATACACGTTCAGCCAATCAGCCAATCAACAGGAGAGCCAAGATACCGGATGCCGGTTTAGAGAGCATTAATTACATTACAAACAGTCAATTGGGCGGTCTTTGTTGTGCCAAAATACGGAATAGACTGATGCCGGATTAGAGGGCGCGCAAATGATCATAAATTAACTAGCTTCTGTTGGGACCAAATTCTAGTGCCGATATTGAGAGCATGCCGGATTGGAGGGCTGCGGGTTAGAGGGCTTCCACTGTATTGCTATTCAGTTACTCATATTGCGATATGTATTGCGATATATTGGGAGCTTATGTGTTTGAAAGTAAGTGCCACTAATTGTAGATATTCTATTTTGTACATCCTATGTCCCAAAACATGTATGTTAGGATATTTGTAGAAAGCGCTCCAAGGGACATTACTCTATAGGGTTCGCTTGAAAAAATGTTTGTCCGGTAGAGGGCATGAGAGTCGATTTAATGCAACATTGCATTAATTCATTTGAACCTTTAATTTTTGATATTGTAATCTGAATGTGTAATTATTTCTTGAATAAATTACATGGTAGCTGCCCTGAGATGTGATAGTTAGTATTATTGAGAAAAATGCCTTGTTATTTTGAGAAAAGTGTGATGTGAAATAGTGCCTTTAACACACTGCATCTATCATGTATGCATAAACTGTCAAAGACTTTTCATAATATTGCAGTGCAGGGAGTTTGGGTTGTTTGGGACCGTTCATAATTTATGGCTAGGGGGTGATGATGATTTTAAGGAGGGGGTCACCCATTTTGTCTGGGGAGGTAGTGGTGGTCAGCAATTTCGTACACATGTACTAGGGCGTCAGCAATTTTGTACATAAAAATATTAAAATATTATGCTTAAACATTATGGGGAAGGGGGTCATTGGTTTTGTGCATGATATGCAAGGGGGGGTCATTTACTTTGTATGTAAATTTTAAGGCGGTCATTCACATTGTACATCCTTCTGTATAAAAATCATCATCACCCCACTTGCCATATTTTATGAAGGGTCCCTAATGCCAGTTCTGGGAGAGTGAAGGAAATAAGGTCTAAGGGGCTTGCCCGAATGAATCATACACAGCTACAGTGAATCATACACTTTCGAGAATCTTTTCAGAGAAGGTTAAAATCTGTATATTTTTGCTGTCCCCCATAAACAATTTTCTCCATATTGTTTGCAGGCTTGCATATTACGTCTGCTCTTGGATCATATATCATCTGTTGCACCAGTCATGGGAGAGGGGGCGGCCATTGTGGTCGGCCTCATTGTGTGTGAAGTATGTCGGAGTCTCACCTTCTCTTGTGCCTGGGCATACAACTACTGGAATGGTAAGTCCAACTGTTGTATTTCTGTATGGCTGGTAGAGTTATACAGTTGTGCTCCTGATGCATTGTGGGGCGGGAGGGTAGTCTAGAGGTTAAAGCATTTGCTCGTCATGCTGAAGACCTGGGTTTGATTCCTCACATGGGTACAATATGTGCAGACCATTTCTGGTGTACCCTGCCACAGTATTGCTGGAATATTGCTAAGATTGGCGTAGAACAAAAACTCACTCACTCCTGAACACTGTAAAATTTAGTGTGGAGAGTTGCTTCCCTTGAGCACATCTTGAGAACCAGTGGTTAAGGGTTCGAATGCCGATTTGCTTCAGTTTTGTTTCTGAGTTTGTAAGCTCTATACCTGCAGTAATTCAAGGCACTAAAAGTTGGTGTGCAGAGTTGCTTCATTTGGGCACACGTTGGAGAAGAGCATCACTTCGGCTTTTGCCCTATATTGACCTGACCTACATAATACAACTAGAACGCTGTTCAAAATTGCCAACACAATATTTGTCATAAGCGGTGACTAACAGGATTTGCTGGTCAGGCTCGCTGACTTGGTTGACACATGCCATCATATCCCAAATGCATAGATCAATGCTCATGCTCTAAATCACTGGGTTGTCTGGTCCAGATTCATTTGTTTACAGACCGCCACCATATAGCTGGAATATTCCTGAGTGTGGTGTTCAACAATTTACAAATAAACAAACATAAAAACAGCTTTAAACCCAACTCACTCACTCACTCAGGTAACTCTACAGTGACCTTGAATCGCAGTCTGGTCAGTGCAGATTGATGACCACCATATATATATTTAGTTACATGAGGCCTATTGTGTGTTCCAGGGATGAAAGTCAGAAGTGCCACCATGGGTCTCTTATACAAGAAAATACTCAGACTAAAAAGTCTCAAAGACAAGAAAATTGGTGAAGTAAGTTGTCTGCGCTTGTTCACTGTAGCAAACAGAATTTTCTCAAAGTATAGTCTACAGTTTCTTTACAAGATCTTGCTAACATACTGTGCAAAGATCAAAGTTTTGCAAAATAAATAAATAAATATGAATATTCTCTTCATTTGAAATATGTAATATTTGATATCTTAATGCTGTTATATTGCAGGAATATTTCTACAAGCGGAGTAAAATCCAACTCACTCATATGTGTTTGTTTTAATGTATTTAAAAAACAAATCGATGTTTTTGGATGTGATCCTCGGTGCTATTTTAATCACGTAAGGTTATCAAATGTCAATATTGAGTTTCATTATATTTTTTTTTTTTCAGCTAGTCAATTTATTCAGCAATGATGGCCAGCGATTTTTTGAAGTGATGGTAAATGGCCCGTTTATTATGTCTGGACCAATCATATTCATCGCTGGATCTGTTTACCTTGGCTTTCTGATTGGTCCTTGGGCTCTCATTGGATGTGCTACCTATGTTATGTTCTTTATTGTGTTGGTAAGATATTTCTCTGTAACATCAAATTCAAGGATATTATGAAATTTAATTTTTCAAGTTATGGTGATCAGTGCTTAAACTTTCACATCATAGTAGGTGAAAGTTTGAATGTAGTAATATATGTATTTCTGAAAGTAGAACAAGAGACACGTCTCATATCAATTTCTTCGCTTTTTAAAACTGTTAACAATTTTTATTGGTTATATTATTACATTCTGAAATGATGAGTTGCCTTAAACTAATCGGTGTGTTAAAAAACTAGTAAAAAGAAAAAAATATGAAATGTGTTAATTAGGAGATAAACATACTGTTTAGAGCTATAATGCGTACGTTCGTTACATACCTCTGATTTTCCAACACAGTATGTTTATCTCCATTCTACCATAACCTCATTATTAAGATTTAAAAAAATACATACTGTGTTGGAAAATCAGAGGTATATAACGTGATTATATACCTCTGAATGACTTTAATTAACCAATCACTATCCAGTATTTATTGAAGTCATGGTAGAATATAAATTTGTAATTTGTGTTGCAGAAATTTGTAGCTGATTTGAATGGATATTTTAGACAGAAAGCTGTAACACTTACAGGAGAAAGGGTAAGTTGAATACAGCTCAACCAGACAAATTCAATAATTCATAATTTGGACTCTGGGGTTTCCCAATATTATCAAATATTCAAATTCAAACCTTCACAGCAGTTATTAGCCAATCACATATCAGGATTCAGTAATAGGACATTAATGCATGTCAGAATAAGTTTCCATAATTCCATAGCATGTACATGTCAGAATACCATTGAATATAATGGTGGCTGAGTGGGTTAGATTGCTGACTTTGTATGCTGATGATTAGGTGCCTGACTCGGAGTGTGTGGGTTTGAATCAACCGGTCGAAAGTACTAGAATCCGTACTTTACTGAGAAAGTGTGTTCCTATATATAACATGTGATAATGTGATAATTATCTCAGTAACTTGCAGAAATATATGAATTTTATACCTTCTCTGTGAAACAATTTGTTGAATTGTTGCTAGGATACAAGTGTGATGTATGTTTCAGGTGAGCCTAATGACTGAGGTGTTGACATGTATGAAACTCATCAAGATGAATGCCTGGGAAAATGCATTTTTTGGCAGGATCAGCAGTAAGTTGTATGATGTGTGTTCTTACCTTGCTTAGATCAATGTTCATGATCTCAATCACTGGATTCTTGGGACCAGACTCGATTATTTGCAGACTGCCGTTATATAGCTGGAATATTTGCTTAAAGGTCACATGCAACCAAAAAAACAAACATAATTAAAACACAATTATCACTTATTCATCACATATAACATACATTGCTGATTATGAAAAGAACAAATAAACAAAATTATAAGCGTACAATCGCAAATCAAAAGTGCAATATTTTGTACTTGGGTTTACTTCCCTTGAAACGAAGCACCCAGATACCGAACCCAGTCAGAGCGGGTGGGCCTGCACTTAAGTGTAGTTAAGACTTTCATTGGCTGGTTCGTTTGCCGATACACTCTTTGTGTGCATATAGAGGGTGTTGGGTTTTGTAAATACATGCTCAGTTTTTGTGTATAACATTTTGCAATCAACAGACACCGTAACATGTCATGTGTACAAGTATCACACCTGCCTGTCTGTGTAAGTACATAATGTGACAGAGACAGAACTTGGGTGCACGAGCCATAAATCAATGCGTTTTGTTAATGGTGTTGGCAAATTGCATGTGGTCAGTGATCGAAGTTTTTTATTGCATATTGTCATTAGCAGACAGGCAGGCAGACACATAGGCATTGAGTTTTGTCTGTGACAGAGGCTGGGCTTCCAAGCTGCGAGAACCTATTCACTGCGCATGTGCCATGAGCGCAGTGCAGCGCAGCACAGCACAGATGTTGAAACCACTTTTCACCCCAGCTGGGGTGAATTTAGTGAATCGTTTGAACTCCGATTTCGAGGGGTGTGTTTCATTGCATTATTTTCAACTTTATAAGTTGAATTTGCATTTTTGATCATGGGTAGCCCATAGTCCAAGATACTGCAATTCACTGTTCCAAATTGTCTCCCTTAGCTCTGCTAGGATCTTCTGGCTGTGGGTTTAAACACCAGATTGTTTGGTTTGTCGACACCATAGGTGTGTGTTTGTGGGTTTCCTTGATGCATTAAAGGTTTGGCAATTGCATCACCTTTGGCTTTTGTTTCATGTAAAAGCAAGATCATTTCAGTTCATGGGACACAAAAAACGGAAACTATCATTCCTATGAATAATGATTTCTCATTGTGTTGGTAAATTGGTACATAAAAAATCATTGAAAACAATATAGGATTGTGAGGTAGCCAATTGGTTAAAGTGTTGGCTCATTACACTGAAGACCCTGGTTTGATAACCCCCATGAGTTCAATGTGGGAAGCCCACTTCTGGTGTCTCCACAGTGATATTGCTGAAATATTGCTAGAAGCGGCATAAAGCCATACTCACTCACTCACCACAATTAACAATGTTTCAGATAAACGTCTGGAGGAGCAGAGGGCGCTAGAACACGCCTACTTCCTGCAGAGCGTGATGACATCACTAGTTCCCATGATTCCAGTGGTGGCCTCCGTCTTCATGTTCCTGTCGTACATCATGGCTGGCAATAATCTCACAGCCACACAGGTGATGAAAAATCGCTATTGAACTGAATATGTTTCCATTTCTAAATGTCAGCTTTGAGAAATAACTAGGGCTAAAACGATTCACCCAGACCTCGATTCGATTCGATTTTCGATATTGGACTCTCGGTTCAATTCTTCATACAAGTAAAAACATCAGATTTTATTTCACTCTCACTGTCGGCGTTTTTAGAGTGAAATCCATCGTCAACTTGGCGATGTCTACTAACAATAATTCACATTGGATGATTAGCCCACCGTAAACCAATCACGTTTCGCCTTATTTCAGTGCTCGAAACAGCTCGAGTTGGAGTCAAAATTACGTTCTGGCTGTGTGTAAATAATCTAAATAGGTATTAAAATATCGAATCGAAATAGTGATAATGTTTTTCCAAAGTTGAAACTAAGGTGTCATTTTGAATTTTCGATGAATCGAACCGAATCATTGCAGTCCTAGAAATAACAGTATCCTGGACGGTTCCATGGCTTTATAAATCATTCTCATTTCTGTCAAGCAGGAGGTGTCACCCATATGACAATTCCTTATCAAAATAAGTCTCCAGTAACAGATACTTACAAGAGACAATAAACATAAAATTAGATGTTTATACAAGAATGAAAGCAGTAGCATGTCATGTAGCACAGGGTGTCCTTGTGATTAAACTGTTAGGTATAGACCTTGCTATAGACCTTCGTTCAGTTCCCTTATCTCACTCACTCACTTAATATGGATTAATTTGGGAATTAAGATTAGCTTGTAATTAGTTGTTGGTTTACACTATCCAGTCCCAGGGAGTCATTAATGATAACAGACCGTCTCCGTGGTGTAGTGGTTAGAGCGTCCGCCCGGAGAGCAGAAGGTCGCGGGTTCGATCTCCGGTCGTGTCTTACCAAAAGATGTTACAATATGGTACTTGTTGGTCTCGGGAGTCAGCATAATGTGTCTGTGTGGGGTATTCATGCTTCACTGCGGCATGGTATCTCAGTGAGCTATCACTATAAAACCAGCTTAAGTCTGGGCTAGTACAAACAGCCGCACATACACATACACATGAATGCACGTCGTCATATGAGCGAAATATTCTCAAGCACGACGTTAAACCCAATTTCACCTCACCCACCTCACCTTATCTCACTCACTCACTCACTTATTATGGATTAATTTGGGAATTAAGATTAGCTTGTAATTATAATTAGTTGTTGGTTTACACTATCCAGTCCCAGGGAGTCATTAATTATAACACTTTGTTCTGAGAAATGGCTTTAAAGGTATTCATGTATGTGTTAGAATTGGTCTTCAGTAAACCATGCTTGTTGTAAGAGGTGACTAATATGATCGGGTGGTCAGGCTTGCTGACTTGGTTGACAAATGTTGACACAGTTGTGTAGATCAATGCTCATGATGACAATCACCGGATTGTCTCGTCCAGACTTGATTACTAACAGACCACAAACAGCAACAAGCAAAAAAATGAAACTAAAAAACCCTCAAATATTAAGATAATTTCTGGTGTTCCCCAGCCATTGTTGATGCAGGATTATTGTTTGAATATGACTGTACAGTGTAATACCACAATCACTTACTCTTAAACCCCAACAATGTGGATGATTTCTCCTGGTTTTAACCACTGGTTGTCTGGCCCAGACAGAATGCGCGGACCACACTGAATATGATGGGATATTGTATGCAAAAGGTTGAAACAGGTTCACTCACTCATGATATGGCATTGTATTCATGGCGGTGTTCATTCCAGGCGTTCACCCTCATCTCCGTCCTCTACTCCATCAGCCTCTCGCTGGCGCTGATGGCGCACGGTCTGCGCACACTGGCAGAGGCGTCAGTGTCGACGGGCAGATACAAGGTAGGCTAGCTTCAGATTTACTGAACAATATCATTTCTGAACTAGGGCTGGTGAGGTAGGCTAGTGGTTAAGGCGTTCGCTGGTCACACCAAAGACCTGGGTTCAATTCCCCACATGGGCACAATGTGTGAAGCCCATTTCTGGTGTCCGTGATATTGCTGGAATATTGCTAAAAGCAGCGTAAAACTAAACTCACTCACTCACTCATTTCTGCACAAACCTTACGCAAGAATGTCGGGTTCTCACTTGTATGTTATTTTCAGTTTACCATGCTGACATGTTTAGGTTCATTTCTTATCTTTACTGATGGAATTGAAGATCCGGGGTTAGAATTGATCTATAGTAACGACTAATGGGATCAGGTGGTCAGACTCACTGACTTGGTTGACACATGTCATCACATCCCAGTTGTGTAGATTGATGCTCATGCTGTTGATCACTGGATTGTCTGGTCCAGACAGGATCATTTACAGACCGCCGCCATATAGCTGGAATTTTGCTGAGTAAAACTGAACTCTCTCACTGCTGGAATTGCCAAACTGAAACCATTACATTTGCAACATATCAAACATAATTTGTATCTCCAATTTGTGATGAAAGACACCATTCTCCGGATATGAATGAAACATATGTTGGGGGAGTAACTCTGATGTTTATTTTCTATCATTTGTTAATGAACAAAGTGGAGCAAATGGGCAAGAAGTAACCCTTAAATGTCATTACATACGATGAAAGTTTCCCGTCTCTACCTTCCAGGAAGTTCTGATTATGGAGGAGATACAGAGCGTGTGTTCACGGGACGTGAGTGATGAGGGCGCTGCGGTCACCTTTGACAACGCCACTCTGGGCTGGGAGTCTGATAATGATGATGACGGTACAATTTGTCAAATGCAATTGTCTCCAAGAACAATTCGATGAATTATGTGCCTCTTTTCCCCAAATGAACAGAAAGATTTTTTTAGTTTTATTTAAATAATTATGTGTATTGTAAATTTGGTTCATAAGGGAAAAAATATGATGATGTGCCACTTTTTTTGTAGGAAGAGGTGTTGGGATCAGATATCCAATGAGAATCCTTGAATCTTAAGAAGGGTTTTGAAACATTTAAATTAGACTTGTGAGATGAATACCTTGTCAGAGATGAGTCCACAGCCAGCTACAATATTTGGTGTCTGTAGATAGTATGGTCTCAAAGGGACCAACAATACAATACAATACTGTTTGTGGGATTTTTAGATTTGTCATATTTGTGACTTATGGTCCAGTCATAATTGACTGAATGATTGTAGGACACATGTTATTGTTTTAGACGATGTATCTCAAGTGGAAGTAATCCCTGGCATCAAGACGGAGGAGATGCGGGAGTCGAAGCGCCTCAAGATGGAGAGGGCAGTGCCGCCGACTTTGGAAAGTGTGGAAGAGGAAAATGGGGACATTGTGGATGGCAGCTCTGTTGGGCTGTTGGAGAGTGTGTCCGTCATAGAGAGGGCTTCCCAGCTCTTGCAGATCTCCCTCAGGATTCAGGAGGTAATGACGCCATCAAGATGATGATGATTACTGACGGACTGACTGACTGACTGAGATGGTTTTACGCCGCATTTAGCAATATTCCAGCAACATCACGACGGGGGACACCAGAAATGGGCTTAACACATTGTGCCCATGTGGGGATTCGAACCCGGGTCTTCTGCGTGACGAGCCAACGTGTTAACCATTAGGCTACCCCACCGCCCACTGATGATGATGATGATGATGATTATTTAATTGATCTCAACAACCAAGTTAGCAGTTTGGAACACTTGTACTAAGGCTAAGTGGGATAGTTGAGAGGACAAGTACCTGCTTATGAAGTCCTGATGGGACGATGTCTTTCAAATGTTGTACATGTGGCAGCATGGCAATTCTGGGATAGAGGAGTTCCTCTGCCCTGTTAACTGATGGTAACAGATGATGTATTTGTGTGGAACTGCTCATACCATCAACCATTGGTTGGACTGTTCTTTATTATTGACAAACACTATGATATTGCTGAATAAAGCTTAAAACAACCTTCACTTATTCACTTGTACTTTAAGAAGACGTACAGTGTCTGTGGAGCAGCCCATATTTTGTGGATCTGTTTAATTTTCCAGGGCCAGCTGATCGGGAATCTGTGGCATGAAGGGAAGCGGCAAGTCATCCCTCCTGTCAGCGCTACTGGGACGAGTAAGGAATACTTTGACTACCATCTAGTCTCTTATATAAACATATTTCACAGAGACAAACAATTCTTAAATTATCTTCATAAAGTATAATCTCTTTATTTTCAGACTTGCCACATTTTCTAGACTTACAAGGGCTTCATTGTGTACATTCTTTTCATGACAATGGGGAAAGTAGTCCTTAGCAAGCTGTAGTTTTTACATGTTAGTGGTTGTCTAATTATGAACCATTCCAACCTCAAGTAACTCTTGAATGTCATACATGGTGACAATATACTGTAAACCGGAAATATTTTGTGTTAGTTTATATTTTGTGTTTCTCTTCCCCGCGCAAAAAATTCTTGGTGTAGTAATATTAAGAAAGGTAAATTTACATCAAGAATATCTTAGACATTCCTCCTTCAATATTTATCAATACACACACCACTAAACAAATATTTCTGATGATACTTTATTCATGAATATACACAGACAGATTCTACACACATCTCAATTAACCCTAATTAGTTTACACTACCACATCCCTTTGATTCATGCCGCACCGTGTGTGAACGTGTGGAAACAACCTCAGTTCAGAGGGATACTTGCCCATGAAAGGTACGTGAGTATCGAGTTGCTTTGTAACTATCGAGTTAAAAGGGTAAGTTTGCTTGTTGGGACCATGAAATTATATCGAGATATCCGAAATATTGCGACATCCGTATCGAGTTAAAAGACCTTGAATAATGATAAACTATGAAGGATTCTGCCGGGACCGAGATGTTTATCGAGACAACCGAGATATCGAGTTATCAGAGTTCGACACAACGGTGCTCGACTGTATATTAATAGCACTCGCGACCAGAGCGGTTACAACAGAATCTAGTTTACTAAGTGCAATGTCCTATAACAAATACTCTTACAAAAGCAGCTTACTGGTGGATTAGCCTACTTCCTGATTACTGCATCGACCGGATGCCCTCCATCCACGAATGACTGAATCTTTATTCTTCGTCACAATATCGAAGCAATGTAGTTTTAGTTAACAGTGTTCTTTTTGCAAAGCCTACTACTCTCGCAAAAATAATACGTCGCAGAACAGGCTAGGGGTACACTGGCGCAAAATTTTCTAGGCGCAGAATATTTCCGGTTTACAGTAGTGTGTGTAGAACATGTTTAGTCTGCATGGAGTATTTTTTACTTTGTTTCTAATTGTAATCTTATGTTCACAGATGCAGCTTCAAGGAGGAAGGGTTGGGGTCAAAGGTCGTGTGGCCTATGTAAGCCAGGAACCCTGGATATTTAATGGCACTGCCAAGGACAACATTTTGTTTGGAAATCAATATGACCAAGAAAGGTAACTGTCTTTGTGTTGACCACTTTCAAAATATTTATTACAATAATAAAAGTTGGTTAATTTCAAATTTGAACATTCTTGATATTACACCGACATTTTCAACTGAGATTACAATGGATTCACAACTGCAGTTGAATGTTTTTGTAGTTTCCCTGGCTATGACTATAGCAAATGATAATTTTATTCTTTTGTGTCAAGTCTGTTTTCAGATAGATATGTTTAATTAGATATATACTGAATAATTTAGGATATATTTTTGTTTTGTTTATGGAAAGACATGATTATTTCTCATTCAAGTGTATATTTTTAAAATTTAAGTTTTAAAGAATTTATGATTAAATCAATGTACTTATATGTTCTGATCCATGCTTTAAGAGATGAATAATGATGATCAAATCGCTACAGTGTGTGACACAATGCATTGTGGGTAATCATGCACCTCTCTGCTCATGCTATCAATCACTGATTTGTCTTGTCCAAATTTTGTTTTCCTTTCCCCCACTATTTTGTTTATCAGTCACCATGTTATAGATGCTGGGTGGTGGAGTAGCCTTAGAGGTTAAAGCGTTTGCTTGTCATAAAACTAAACTCAACTCACTCATTGTCAGGGGCAGCCTAGTGGTCAAAGCGTTGGCTCGTCACGCCGAAGGCCTGGGCTCGATTCCCCACATGGGTAAAATGTGTGAAGCCCATTCCTGGCGTCCATGGCCGTGATATTGCTGGAATATTGCCAAAAGCGGCGTAAAATCAAACTCACTCACTCACTCACTCATTGTTATAGAGGCAGTGTACTGATGATTCTACAAAATCTGTTTCGACAAATCAGCCCCTGGCTAATCCAGGCTTCTTTCTTGTGTTTCTACAGATACGACCATATTGTCAAAGTCTGCTGCCTGGAGAAGGACTTCGACACTTTTGGTGCTGGTGATGGAGTAGAGGTAAAGAGAAACATAACTGGGCTGATGGGATAACATGGGTGCTCTAGTTGGATGGGTTCTGAGGAGGACCTGGGCACCCAGTGTCGGACTGGGACGGGTAACTCGGGTACCTGGGTCAGGTAGGTCCAGAGTAGGACCTGATACCCCCAGGACTTCCTGGACCCATGTACTCCGTGTCGGACTGAGACGGGTAACTCGGGTACCTGGGTCAGGTGGGTCCAGAGTAGGACCTGATACCCCAGGACTTCCTGGACCCATGTACTCCGTGTCGGACTGAGACGGGTAACTCGGGTACCTGGGTCAGGTGGGTCCAGAGTAGGACCTGATACCCCCAGGACTTCCTGGACCCATGTACTCCGTGTCGGACTGAGACGGGTAACTCGGGTACCTGGGTCTGGGGTGGGTCCAGAGTAGGACCTGATACCCCCAGGACTTCCTGGACCCATGTACTCCGTGTCGGACTGAGACGGGTAACTCGGGTACCTGGGTCAGGTGGGTCCAGAGTAGGACCTGATACCCTCAGGACTTCCTGGACCCATGTACTCCGTGTCGGACTGAGACGGGTAACTCGGGTACCTGGGTCAGGTGGGTCCAGAGTAGGACCTGATACCCTCAGGACTTCCTGGACCCATGTACTCGGTCGACTGGAGACGGTCGGACTGTGGGTCCAGAGTAGGGTACTTCCTGGACCCGGATACCTGGGTCAGGTGGGTCCAGAGTAGGACCTGATACCCTCAGGACTTCTTGGACCCATGTACTCCGTGTCGGACTGGGACGGGTAACTCGGATACCTGGGTCAGGTGGGTCCAGAGCAGGATCTGAGTAGGATCCATGTACTTACAGGACAAAGTGTCCCTATGTACTCACTGACAGGTGTTGTGGGTACACAGGTCACGATGTCACTGTCATGATGGATGTTTAATAACACTGAAAATAAACCCTGTACATTTTTCATGACACTCTTGTATACTGAGGCGGTGGGGTAGCCTAGTGGTTAAAGTATTTGATTGTCACGCCAAAGGCCCGAGTTTGTGAAGCCCATTTCTGGTGTCCCCTGTCGTGATGGAATATTGCTGGAATATTGCTAAAAGTGGCGTAAAACCAAACTCACTCACTCATATATCCTAGGATTAATATACCCTCGAGTTTATAAAAACACTTTTTTTATAATTTATGATTTCAGATTGGTGACCGAGGACTGACATTGAGTGGTGGTCAAAAACAGCGACTGAGTCTTGCCCGAGCCTTGTACAGCAACAGTGACGTCTATCTCCTTGACGACCCAATGTCCGCTCTCGACGTCCAGATTGGCAGAGACATATTTAACCTGTGTATAAAAGATTTGTTAAAAGAAAAGACAGTGCTGTTTGTTACACATCATTTAGAGGTAGGTTGAAAGTATTTTATAGATAACCTCAGAGTATTTATGTGTGTGTGTCCTGTGTGCAAGTGTATCAAACACAATGATGACCCAGTTTGTGAGTTGAAGATTTGTTGAGGATATTAATTACTTTATTTGTTAGAAACAACATTTTAAAGTAAATTCTTACTTTTTCTTCACTGAATAATGATAAAACATTAACTCCGTTCAAAGTGGCGCTATCTTCAGTAACCCATACTTGTCGTCTAACGGGATCAGGTAGTCAGGCTCGTTGACTTGGTTGACACATGTCATCGGTTCCCAATTGCGCAGATCGATGCTCATGCTGTTGATCACTGGATTGTCTGGTCCAGACTCGATTATTTACAGACCGCCACCATATAGCTGGAATATTGCTGTGTGCTGCGTAAAACAAAAATCACTCACTCACTCAAAGTGGTGCTAAATCCCAAGTCACTCACACACTCTCATACCTAATCTTTGATTCAGTCTGAATATATGGCCGTGGGGTAGCCTAACGGTTAAATCGTCCGCTCGTCACGCTGAAGACTCAGGTTCCATTCCCCACATGGGTGCAATATGGGAAGCCAATTTGTGGTGTTCCCCGCCGTGATATTGCTGGAATATTGCTAAAAGCGGCGTAAAACCATACTCACTCAATCTTACTTATGTTGAAAGACATGTGCAGCCCAGCTGATTCAGTTTCTCATGGTTGTGAGGGCTGTGGGGTAGCCTAGTGGTTAAAGCGTTTGCTCATCACGCCGAAGACCCAGGTTCAATTCCCCACATAGGCAAAATGTGTTTCCCATTTCTGGTGTCCCCAGCCGTGATATTGCTGGAATATTGCTAAAAGCTGCGTAAAAACCAAACTCACTCACTCACTCTCATGGTTGTGGCACTGTGTTTCTGTTTCAGTATCTGTGTCGCTGTGACTACGTCATCTACATGAAGTGTGGGCGTGTCTCTGAAGCTGGTGTCCACAGCGACCTGATGAGTGACGGCGGCGACTACGCCGATCTGCAGCAGCTGTACCAGAGCAAGTATGATGAGATTCAGAGGGAGAGAATTAAAGCTGCTGTCGCAAACAGACAAGGTAAGCAGAGAGCACTGGAATTAAACAACGAAACTCTCAATACTCTTTAGGCTGTGGGGTAGTTTTGTGGTTAAAGCATTCCCTTGTCATTCCGAAGCGTGGTTTCGATACCCCACATGGGTACAGAGTGTGAAGCCCATTTCTGGTGTCCCCCCACCATGATATTGAAGGAATATTGCTAAAATTGGCATAAAACTAAACTCACTGACTCTTGCCATTTGTCACCTGTTTGGTAAATGTTGAGATAGACCAACATTACAATCTTAAGTTCTCTTGTCCATTATGATCTGAAAGATTATTTGTGTAATGTACATTTTTAAATCACTCACTCACAGTGGAGTTAGATTCTCACCCTTAAAGATCCAGGTTAGAACTGGTCTTCAGCAACCCATGTTTGTCATAAGCGGCGACTAACGGGATCGGGTGGTCAGGCTCGCTGACATGGTTGACACATGTCATCATATCCCAAATGTGTAGATTGATGCTCATGCTGTTGATCACATTATTGTCTGGTCCAGACTTGATTTTTTGCAGACCACCGCCACATAGCTGGAAAATTGCTGAGTGCGGAGTTAAACAACAAACAAACAAAACAGCAAGATTCCAGAGTGAAGTTTATAATTCCCTGAACCATGTTCTCAATCCTCTTGTCTGTCAGAAAGAATTACTCCACAACGAGGGTTTTCTCGGGCTTCCAGAAAGTTTCTCAACCGTCACCTTAGTCGTATGTCAACCCGTGAGGGCCTGCAGCCTCAGTTCAGTATTATATCCAACGTATCACATGGTCTGGAAGACTATGAATATGGTACGTATTCATCAGTACACCTCTGGGGTCTTCTCCATGTTCATCACTCTCCTTGTTGTGGACTTCTCTACAGGGGACAGGGCTTTTTCATTCTGGTCACTTAATAATTGTTTGTCACCATTTAAATGCAGGCAATGTTCTTTTTCTTTCAGTAGTGAAGTCTAATTTGTTTTCATAATGGTGTTTTCACAAATTAGGCCAGACCAATTTTATTTCTTGTTTTACGGATTTTTGTCCTCAGAAAACCTAAAGGCAGGAGGGAAATTATTTTTTTATAAAAATCACCAGTCAAAGTAATACCGGGATTTTCCGGAAAGCCGTCCACTCAATAAATCGCCCATGGGCACTTATTTTAGGTGGGCGATTATATGGGGTTAAAACTTCTTTTTTCATCACTGCTATCTAGAAATATTCCTTCTAAATAATAACAGTAATTTTCTTTTGGCAAGTTATGAAATGTATATGAGTCAAAAAACAATCAAAAAAAAATTCTTGTAAGTTTTCATTTATGGCCAATACAGACATTAGGATTTTATTTTTTGAGCGGGAAAATTAAGTTTTATTTTTGTTCTTATTCTTGAAAAAATACGACCGGCGGATCCGTAAAACAAGAAATAAAATTGGTCTGACTTTACAGTAGAATGTATCCAGCTTTCACTGGACCTCATGATCTCTTCTCAGACTCATGAATACTGACCTTGACTGACTGAGTTTGGTTTTGCGCCGCTTTTAGCAATATTCCAGCAACATCACCGCGGGGGACACCAGAAATGGGCTTCACACATTGTACCCATGTGGGGATTCGAACCAGGGTCTTCGGCATGACGAGCCAACGCTTTAACCACTAGGCTACCCCACTGCCCCAATACTGACCTTGAGTTCTGCTCAGGAATATTGTTATCCAATTCAGGAACCTGGAGTCAGATACATTTGTTCTTGAATCTGAGTCTTGAATATTAACCTTGGATCACACTCAGCCTGATATCATGATTTTGCAAACTTTAAATGACTTTCTGAATTCTTTTTTCTGGTTCCCTAATGAAGAAAACATATAGGCTGAATGAATTTGAATTTAAACAAACTTACTGTAATTGTTTGAAACTTGTGTGATTGGTGAGTGAATGTGTTGTGGGGTCTGGTGTTGTTGTTTTGTGCTTTGTTAGAAAAAAAATCCTGTTTTTCTGTTGTCCAAGTTTTCTTTGCAAAATGAAGTGGGTAGCCTAGTGGTTAAAGCGCTAATTCATCATGCTTGAAGACCCGGTTTGAATCCCCACAAGTGTGATTGTGTGAAGCCCTTTTTCTGCTGTCCCCTGCCGTTGATGTTGCTGGAATATTGCTAAAAGCGGCGTAAAACCAAAACTCAGTCAGTCTTGCAAAAGTCCCAAGAGTCCCCTGACCCTGTTGCTATGTATTGTAACAGGGGAAGCAGGAAATAAAAATTGTCAATTATATCAAAAATAATTCTTGATATCATTTCTGGTAATAGTATCAAGATTACTCTAGGAATCTTTTGTAGTGTCTGCTCTGAACACTTCTATAACATAGATTTTGTACATTATTATTTCAGCAACTGATCTTATATTTTGGATGACAGATTATTTAGAAAGAAGTAGTCATGTTTTTGTTTGTATTCTTTCAGTGGACATTGATGATCTAGTCTCTGCACAGGATGTAAACGACAGCCGAGTGTCGGTGCACATATACCACAAATACATCATGGC